AGGACTAAGTTGCTCCACAGAGAGGAGATGGTGCCGACCACCAGCTGCAAAGCCCCAACCTGCTCACACCTCTCCCATTTCATCTCTGTTTCAGCTCTTGGAACAGCAGTACTTGGCTAATGCGGCAAACCAGCCTCTGCAGGGTTAAAGATGAGCTCGTCAGCCTGGGTGATGACAAGTAGGAAAGAAAATACAGGCAAGGAGTCATTAATTAAGGCAAGAAGCTGGGAGCAGAGACTACAGAATGCTGATCAGTCTGGAGGGAAGGCTGCGTGGAAAGCAGCAATCAAGCTCCTTCAGCTTTAATTAAATCTAACTATATCAAGGATGTGACATCTTTGTTTCACCTCTGATTCTGAGCTGAGAAACCGGTTGGAGCATGTATGCTGTTACTGGGCAGACAGGAATTCCCTCCTGGCTCCAGAGCCTTCCCAACCAAGACTCAGTGCCTGCCCATCCTGCTCACGTGCTCCCCAAAATCAGGGCTTAGCACCAGGCAGAGCTTAGGGAAGGGGTCCAGGGCTTGCAGCCACTTATGTTAAATGCACCTTCTCCTCAAGGTCTTACTTGTCTTCTCTGTCCTGTTTTATTTAGGCTTCACCCCAATGTGCAGCAGTCAGTTCTGAGCTGATCTGCTTCCTTTGCAAGCTGGGACCAGGAGGAGCAGGAGCATTGGTGAGAAACAGCCCAGCCGCATCTGGGCAAGAACAGGCAGCATCCAGCTGTGCCACATCACTCTTCCTGACTCCTGTTCCCTTCTCCCTCCAATGCTTTAGGCTGTGTAGTGAGTCTTCACCTGTAGAAATGATGTATGTATTTGTGTTGTCCAGAGATGGGTTGAGGCCATGTGAGCTGGCCACAAGCCACGGCATTATGTGCAAAGGGTGGCTGTAGAACTTGCTGTCCCAGGAAGGTGGGTAAGGCAATCTGGACATGTTTCTAAAGAGCATCAACAGCAGAGGAGTGTCAGCCATCACAAAAGGAGGGAGGTGGGAAAATCGCAAACAGGGATGGGAGGTGAGGGAGGCTCGAAGTGCAGAAAGCAACATCAAGTGCTTGAATGGAAAAGAGAACTAATTCCCAGTGCAGCTCTTCAGCTGGCCTCCACACAGTAAAAGGGGTGTCCTTGGAGCTGAGCTCCAGCAAGGGGTACAACAGCTTCAGCAAGCGTTAGAAATACCACGTCACCTGGGAATTTAAGAGCAGGCAAGACAAAGCAATAAGGAAAGATTTACGCAAATGGAAGTAGGGAACAGAAAGAGAAGAGAAATAAGGGGAAGATCGTGGCTCTGCTCACACACGTCACAGCTCTGCAAGCTGCCTGATGTCACCCAGCCCTGCCACACAACGTCTACAGCACTGATAGTGTTGCAGGGCACTGCTGGGACCAAAGCACCTTTACTTTTGACACGAGCTCCAGCACCATGCATGGGGACAAGTGAGGACACCAGCAGATTCTGCAGCCCATGCAGGGCTCAGGACACCACCGATGGGGCTGCACAGCAGGACACCATGATGGGGCTGCAACTCTGCATTTGATGCAGCCTCATGCTGGCAATTGGCTCCCAATGAGGATCTCTCTCCTCTCTGCCAGATGGGACTCCCCAGCATGAGTTTCCTCACTGTTTTAATCAGCTAGAAAGAGAGGAGTGCGGTCCCTCCAGATTTCCAGGCTAGAGAGTCTGCTGTAGCACCCAGTCCTTGTGTCTCCGCCTGGAAAGTCAGCCCACAGGGCTTTGCTGGGAGGGATATGTCCATGCACATGCTGGCTGTGGGCAATGGGATGTAGGAAAGTGAACTGCTGTGGAAAGAGAATGACCTTGTTCAGGGCAATGGTGTTCATTCTGAAACCTACTGGTGCCATGACAATCTGTAATTGTTTCCTGTCTTTCAGTGTGGAAGTCTGTGTTTCCCACAGTGTCACTGCTTTCCCTAAACATTTTTTGCCAAGCTTTCCCTCTTTCAACCTACTCTTAAGAAATTATGGGTGCAGATCTGCCTCATGTTAAGAGTTACATACTCAGGATCCATACAGCACTAACTGAATGCCATTTGCAATTAAGGAAGAGGAGGGCTGTTGCAGTCACTTAAAGTTTACTGTGAATATTGAGCTGGGGTAGTGACACGTCTCAGACACGGCCACAGGATTGTGGTGGCTAAGGAGCTCTGGGGGTCTTGCACTCAGTTTAGTGGGTCTGAATGAGGGACCTCATCTCTCACTGCTAACATAAAACCATCTCAGTGGGGATAAGGTGTGGGTCTGATGATCCTGGAGGAAAGCAAACCCCTTGTCATGTGGTCAGAAACTGTGATGCTAATGGAGATTTCTTTCTTGCCTCTCTAGACCCTTTCTAGGGCTTCTTTCTGGTTTTCTTCCACAATATCACCAAAAGCTCCCAGGCCATAGGACTGAGGCTCAAGGGCTCAGGTCTGTGCTGGCAAATAGGATCTGTCTTGCTCACACTTGCAAGTCAGGTGGCATCACACACCTTGTGTTCCCAGAGCCAAGCTTTCTCATCCAGCAGAGGGTGGCCTTGGGTGGCTGCAGTCACCTGCAGCACATGGACTTGGCACACTGGGAAAGCTGAGTATCCTGCTTGGTCCCCCTCCCTTCTCATGACTCATGTCATGTCCATGTGACAAAACAGGAGCTGTGTGAGGTCAGCCACACGCTCAGACCTGGCTCTGCCAGGCACCACAGCAAACCACAGCATTGCAGCAATGCAAATCCCACCAGCTCCCTCCCTCCCAGGTGCACTAGACTGATCAAAGGCCTTGCTTGGAACATTGTTTTTGTGGGCTTCTCTGGCAGCCTGATGATGCAGAAAAACGCTGAAGAAAGCTGCTGTGAGGCTGGAGTCCCAGCACAACCAAGTGACGTTCACCCCAGCTCTGGAGCAGCAGGACACTGCTGGTGTGGGGAAAAGTCTCCTGCCCAAACATGATGCTCTGCCAGATCATTGCTCCCACCTCCTTCATGCCCTCTTGTCCACCCTCTTGCCCTCTGCTTGTAGCCCCTCACTTTGCACTGCCTTCTCACCACCACCTTCTGTCCCTGGAGATGGCTCTCACCCAGCCCCACACGTTTCTCATTTGTATTGCCCCCCCCTCCACCGTGTACTCTCACCACCCCTTCCTTTCCCTCTCTCTGCTTCTGTCTCCTCCTATGACTCTCTTAAACATCAGCAGTGCTGGAGTCGTATTAAAACCCTCAGCTTTGCTGCTTCTGGGCACTTCTGCAGTGTCTGCAAAGTCAAATAAACCAATTGCTGCCACGCTAATGAGTCTGTGGTCAGATGGCTCATGCAGCCTACACCGCCTCCAACCCACACTGCACAGCCCTGTGCACAGCAGAGATTGTATCCAACACACAGCAAACAAGGCAGGAGAAGGCAATTACCAGCTTTATTAAGGTCAAGCAGGAGAGAAGTTCCAGCAACTTCTGATTTCTTGTCCTGCCCTGCCGTCGCCGCAGCACTTCCCACTGTCAGACTGGGAGGTTTCTTGGCCCTGCTGCAGGGTGTCATTGAGCTGCTGCCACAGCCAAAGGTTCCTGCTCAGCTGCTCGGGGCAGCAGGGACAGAGCAGGGGAAAGTTTTTCTCCCAGGTGGACATGGGACCTACAGCTGTCCCACAACAGTGGCCAGCCTTGAAAGATGTCCCAACCCGCTCAGAGGTGTTGGCCACATGCTCTCCTGGGAGCCTTTTCCACTATGTAGAACGGAGCACTAAGGATTGAGCTAAGTGCACATGGGTGTGATGGGCCTGTTTCTTTCTCCTTTGCCTCACCATGATTGTCACCTGGTTTCACAGCTCATTTTGCAGCTTGGCTACTTTCTTTTGCTTTGATGACACCCATCAATTCACTCACCATCAGCATCATCATATAGGGAAAAAATGCCTGGCCAAGTGAATAAACAGTGCATGTGGGGCTAATATCGCTGAATAACGCCACTGCTCTGGGAGCCAGAGGACCTTCAGCCCCAGAAGGAAGGGATGAAATTCCAAGTAGCAAACAAAGATCAAAGAGGAGGCAGCAATCCCTCAGGAATTTGCAAAAGGCAAACAGAAAGTAAGCAGAGGTGTGGATCAGGTAGAACAATGCAATGAAAAGAGGATTTACTGGGTTTGTTTAAGAAGAACTGAGGATGGCTATCAGGAAATGTTTCTGAACTTCAAGCAGCTCTAGGAATTGGGCCAGTGACCTACGAGATGTGCTTTCAAGAGCTAAAGCCAGGTGGGACAGAGCTCTAGGAATCATCCTCCAGCGAGTACTTCTGGTGAGGCAGGGTAGAGAGAAGAGACTGGCCAGATGGTACCTTCCTCCTTGAACTGCAGAGAAGCCACCAGTGCAAGGGGGAGGCACACAGAGGTACCTACACACAAGCATTTCCATCATTCCTACAGTGGCATAAATCATTTGGATAAAACCAGTGACTGTTGTGCAGACTGTGTCTGTTGGCACAGACAGCTGACTTCCCTGTACACCAGTCAGTACTGGCAAAGTTCCTTCGATCTGGATGCAGGGGCAAGGGAAGGGGACAGAAGTGGATGAAGGCTGCCCCTGGCACATAGAAAAAGAAGGGCAGGGGACAGTGTTTCTCCGCTTAGGGCCCTCAGGAAGAGAGGCTGCCAGCTACTCTACTCAGATTCAGGTCCCTGTGAACTGCACCCTTCCCATCCATGCTCCGATGTGACCTTAACAGCGTGGATTTCCTACCTGGATATTTTCATTTTGGTTGCCTCCCTCTCAGAGTTTCAAGTCACTGCACAAAATTAGCAAGTTAGGAAATGGAGTCCTTAAAATATGTTGCAGGAACGTCGCTCAGGTCACTTGGCATCACATTACCATATCCTCCCATTCTGCATCTGGTCAGGTGGATTGTGACATTCCTAGGTGAATGCTGTGGGCCAGTGAGTGAAGGCATGTGGGGCAATGGGTTTAGCATTGCCACAGGATCTTTGGTGGCTCTGCTGCATCCGTTCCCCTCTGCCTCACATTATTTGGCCTGTTTGGGAATAGAGTGGCTACTCACTGGCTGGAAAATGTGGCGAACAGTCAGAAACTCTTGAGTTCCTCTTAGAGGGGTCATGTCGAGGGAATGGCAAGCTGTTGCCAAACTTTCCTCCTCCAGTATCCCCTTTTTAACAGAGACCATGGCATCTTGAAGCTGCTGAGTCCATGCTCTGGCATGACTGGCACCTTCATGACCCCTCTTCCTGGTGTCTTCTGGAACCTGGGTCACCTCAGTGTTGCCTCCACAGAAACCTCTGGTGCTGTTGGTGAAACCTCTGTCCACATTGACCATATGGAATTTCCTTCCAGCTCTCTTCTTCTTCTTCTTCCTGGTCTTGTTCTGGAAGAAGAGACAGGTGAAGACCTGTTTGAAACGCTTGCGGAAGTGCTTGGAGATGAGGGCGTAGACAATGGGGTTGAGGCAGGAGTTGGTGTACGACAGGCAGTGGGAAGCCAGGCGGCAAGCGTAAGTGGCTCGGTTGAAGGGGAAGTGGCCAAACCAGAAGCAGAGGATGACCAGGTGGTGGGGCAGCCAGCAGAGGCAGAACAGGATGGCCACAGCCACAATCATCTTGGTGACCTTACGCTTGGCCTTCCGGGACTCTGAGATTCTTTCTATGGGGTCTACGGAGGTCCACAGGAACTTGACGGTCCTAAGGTATGCCAAGCTCACCACGCTCACAGGCAGGAGGTATCCAAAGACAAACGTGAGGATGTCCAGAACCTTTCGGCGCTGGTCCTCCCAGATGGGGACGCAGATGGGCACACCATGGTAGTGGATTATCTGGTAGTAACTGAGGTAAGGCCCCGCGAAGAGCAGCGACAGTGACCAGACTACTGCAATGGCCACTCCTGCATTTTGGGAGGTGCGGAGGTCACGGGACTTCAGTGGATAGCGAATGGCCAAGTACCTGGCAAGGAGGGGAAGGAGAAGGATGGGTGAGATGAGGTATTTCTACTGCCCTGTGGGGCTGCCATCTGTGCACCCCTACCCATGTAGGCACCCATCGCTCCCCTCCCACACCTCTTGGGAGTGAGGGTAACAGTGAATTCACAACTATATCAGGGTCATTCTAACAGTGAGGCTGGGATTTCCATCACCCACTCTGCTGTGCTAGCTAGGAAGGGCAAGCAGTGTGACTCCTGAAACAGGGAAGGGAAGGATAGGAGCAAGACTCTACTGTCTCCTCTGAGGTGTGTTGCTGTCCCAGTGCTTTTACTGTTCTTGGTTACGCATGGTGGACACTCCTCCTTCTCAAGTGAGAGCCAGTAATCAAGCTGAGAGCTTGGCTTTGTGGAGGACAAGGACATGGGGAGCTGGGTCTGCTGGCTCTACCCCTGGGGAGACCCAGCTGCTTCTTACAGGACACTCAACAGGGCAGCCTTTCTCCCACCTCTTAGCTCAGGGGTGGCAAACGCATTGTCTCTGAGCTGAGAGACTCAAAGGAAAGGGGAGACTTACCTGTCAATGGAGACGGCAGCCAGGGTAAAGCTGCTGGCATACATGGTGAAGTAGATCAGGAAATGCACAGCCTTGCAGGCAAAGGCCCCAAAGAGCCACCCATCCAAGGTGTAAATGGTGGCCTGGAAAGGGACACAGCAGATGATGAAGCACAGGTCAGCCACGGCCAGGTTAAGGATGAAGAGGTTGGTGGTGGTGTACTTGACTTGGCCATTCTGCAGCAGCACAGCCAGCACCAGCCCATTCCCCACAGTACCCACGAGGAAGATGAGAGAGAAGATGATGGGTACAATAATCCCTGCTGCTTGAAGCTCCAGGCTATTAGAAGAGATGTTCCATCCCTCTGGCATCTCCCCACCTGACTGTGGGGACCTGCATGGGGAGAAAGAGAGAAAGCCCTAAGGTGCCAGATCCCAGCCTTTGACACCCATGTTTCTCCCAGAGATGCCAATCTCAACCAGCTGGTTAAATGATGACACCAAGATCCTTGTGATGATGCTGGCAAGAATGTTGTTGGGATCAGTTAGCTCACACCTGGCTTGAGCAGAGCTGAAGCCCTTTTCTCCCGCCCAGATTCACATTCCCACCACAGCATCTCCTGTGCTCCCAGCCCCACAAAGGGTCTTCGCTGCTCTGCCACCTGGCCTCCACTATATTCCTCCTACAATCCCAAAGCTGCTAAACCTCTTGGGATTGCTTGCTTTGGCAAGTCTAAACCCTGGCTGATATTCAACTGGGCTTATCCAAGAGGCCATGAGGAAGGGGGCTCCCATGGGCTGCAAGTGATCCTGGCACACTCAGCCCAGGGCTGTGCCACCTCTGTCAGCAGGGACCTGGTGCCTGGATCACACCCCACAGCAGCAGCACCCCAACATACTCTTCTCACGAGGTAACTCTTTAAGCTGGGGCCACCTCCACTCCGGAGCTGGCTGCTCCTTGCTCCCTGTGCAGTAGCTATGCTCCACAGAGGAGAGGCAACTAAGGGTGTCTTTCCATGATACTGAGAGGTGGTAATGGGCTGGATGGTGGCAGCTACATGAGGAGCTGCCTGAAATACCACATGATGAATGTTGTGAAGAAGCATGTTGTTACCACAGCTCAAGGTATTGTGATTTGCTGCAAAACTTCCTCCAGCCCTGAGTAACACTGCACTCAGGCAGAGAGCGCCAACAGCCTATCTCCAAACGAACCTTCCCCTTGTTTGCTATCACTAGAACAAATTGTCCTTCTCTGAGCAGTAACTGTGAGAGAAAGACACCATTATCTAGCTACTGTTGACATTCAATTAACTCTGTTTTGGGTCATGCAAGCTCCTTCACCCCATGCTCCCCCATGTTTCAGCTCACACCACTTCTCTTTCCCAGCTCCTATGTGTATCACACCAAAAGACTTTCTCTGCCTCTCTGGCTCTTCTGTCCCCTCTGTCCTACTGATAACTATCCATCTGGCCCCATGAGATCTCCTCACTGGAGCAGAGGAGCCCAGCCTCCCTCTGGGCATGCATGGGCACCAGGGTGTCTCTGCTCAGCGAGCCTGAGGCCACCTCTCAGCTTGGGAAGCCAGTACTCACCTTTTCAAGGAAGAGCCTGGAGCTTTGCCACTCGCTCGGGGAAGGGGAAACCTCTGGTCCAGCCCAGGTAATGGTGACAAGGAGGATGCAGACTACCAAAGAGTTTATCCAGGCAGCTTGGTCACCCCAGTCACTCCCACCTGGTGCTCCGCTGCCTCCCCCTGCCTACCACCGGCTCTGCTCTCTCTCCTTCCGGAGCTCCTCTCCTTTCTCTCTGTCTCCCCCTTTTTCCCTCCCTCTGCTCTTGCTGCTGATCCATAGATCTGTGTTGATTTTTTTTTTCCCCTTTCTCTGAGGTTGGGTTTGGAGTTAACTCCTCTCTGCCCAGCTTTCCTGCAGGCTCAGCTGCTCCCTGTTCCAGTGAGGAGGGAGTGTCAGAGAAAAAGCCCACTACTCTCTGGTGGGAGAGGGAGGATGGAGGGGGAAAGGGTCCCATGGACCCCAGCGGCCACTCCTCAATGCTGGATATTCAGGATGTGTTATCCAACACCTCCAGGGAACATGAATACTCCACCACAGCGAGCCTGGTCCCTGCCCTGTCCTTGGGATAAGACCCTAAACCCTCTGGAGCGTGAGCAATTAATTGCTATTACTAGCTGTTATTAATTATTGTTAATAGCATGGCTCTGAGCAGATTGAGCCTCTCCCACAATGTCTGATCTGGGCAAGGAGGAGAATGCAGGTTTTGGTTTCCATCCAGCTCAGACCTGCACACCACCAGTGCTGCAGGGTGGGGAGGTTCCATCAAGGAAGGTTCCATCTCCACGTGTTCAGCTCCATCACAGTTGCCTGGGACAGCATGGATGCTGGCTGATGTGCCAAGAGATGACAGTGACCCACACAGCCCTCCTGTCCTGCTACCCTGCTGCCATGTCCACTCTGGTGACAGGACCTGTACCCTGAGGACTTTCCAGGTATGCTAAGACTGAGAGTGCAGTTTGGTGATCCTTTCCTAGCAAGACTCAAAGGCCACCAGTTTCCCTTCACTGGGAAGGTCTGGGTGCCTCTTCTAATGATGGAGCAGGACGTGGAGAAGGAGATGCTGGCCCTTTCCCCCTCCACAGCAGCCCTGGTACTCCTCTGAGCTCAGTGGAACCCCTTGGCCTGGCAGGAGGGATCATACAGCTTCTCCATCCCACATGCCCCTGGGGCAGAAGGGAGCATGGTGACCCGCCAGCTCACTATCAGCTGCTGTAACCAGGGAAAAGGGGAAGGCCATGCCTTGGGACGTGGTGATAACTCAGGGGATGCGGCAGAGCACAAGCCTGCACCCTGCCACAGCGCTGCTCACCATGGAGGGACCACACCGCAGCTGCCTCCTCCTCCTCCTCCTCTGCCTGCTACCACCACTGGGCATCCCAGGCCCACCACTGCCTCTGGAGGAACCTCAGGACCTGCCACCGACACTGTCCAGCACTGCTGACCCCACTGCCCACCTGCTGCGTGGCCGCCCCTCAGCCCCAGTGCGGCCCTACAGCCTCTCGCTGTCCCCTGAGGATTACCGCTACTCCCCCAAGCCCCGGCACCTGCGCCCCGGGCGGCTGCGACGGCTCCTGGGCTCAGCCTTCGACCCCTTCTGGATGGCGACCGAGGAGCCCCGAGGTCGCAACAGCAGCATCCTCGAGGAGAACCTGGAGTCCATGAGCAGGGACCTGGCAGAGGGTGCTGGGCGCTACCGCCGCAAGCTGTGGCGAGAAGCGGAGGGGCTGGAGCTGCCCAGCCTGCTGCCCCCTGGCCTGGGGTTGTCCCCTGAGCTACAGGGGGTCCTGACCCGCCGCCTGCGGCAGTGGCTGGTGGAACAGGCTACCTGCCGCCTCACCTCCACCTGGGTCGACCTGGGACCTGTCTTCTGGCCCCGCTGGGTGCGCCACACCGCTTGTGACACCGGACCCCCTGGCTGCTCCTGGCCCCCTGGCATGACCTGCCGCCCCACACAGCTCACTCACATCAAGCTGCTGGCCTGGCACTGCTGGGTCCCCCAGCACCCTGGCCCACCAAACTGCACCTGGCGGCAGATCCCCTACCCCGTTGTGGCTGCCTGCAAGTGTTCCTGCCGCTGAGGGGGCTGCAGGGGGCTACGGAGGGACCTCCTGGTACCTGTTCTTGTAGCCAAAAGGCCTGAAAAGGCAAGAGTCTGCCTGGATTCACCCTCGGATCTGGGGGGAATCCCCAAACGGAGAAATAAACCTCCAGAAAGGAAGTGGGGATGGCTGCTGTCATTGCTCTTTCTTGCCAAAACCCCTGGGTTGTATGTAGCTGCTTCACCCCTCACCCACTGCGGGCAGTCATTAGCACCAGTGGAGGCCTGTGTGCAGCATTTATCTCCAGTAAAGGATGAGGAATGGGAAAATTGTGGCACCAAACAGCAGGCTCAGACCCTGTTTGCAATCAGCCCCAGCTGGCTCAGTCTAAGCTGGAGCATCCCTGCCTGCCTGGGTAGGGCAGCAGGCAGGGAGCGAGGGCAGGGAAATGTCAGCAGGGAGGGAGTAGAGGGAGGGGGTTCACAGCTCGGGGTAGAATCAGTGGTGGGTACAGAAGCTGTAGAGGGCTGTGTGCATATGGAAATGGGACAGGATAGGACAGTCTTCTACTTTGGGTAAGATACATGAATGCCCCACCTATCCCATGATGTAGAGGGTGACAGCTCCAGACCCGGGACTGTCAGAGTAGCATATAAGGTCTGAGGTGGGTCAGGGGGCCCAGGCTGGGAACATCCTTGAAAAGTGGTGTCTGCCTCTACATTCCACGCAGCAAAATATCCTCTGCTTTCTGGGCTAAAAGCTGCACAGAGCTGTAGATCAGATCTAGGCTGGGAGGCCTTTAAGAAATAAAGAGCTGGAGGCTTTGCCTGGGATGGCAATATTAGCATGGTGCCCGCAGCTGATGAGCGCTGCATTATTCATTTCCAGAGTGTCATCATCTGACCCTCCTGCTTTCCCAGGGCTCCAGTGTTTCCCAGTCTGCTCCCCAGACAGCCCCACAGTCTGCGGCAGAGCCTGGCCTTGAAGCAGGCAGAGACGCAGAACAGAGTGCAGGGAGTTGGCTGCCGAGAGGCCTGAGCGATACGGAGGGGAGAGGGAGGTCAGTGCGCCTGGTGAGACGAGGAGGAGGAAAAGGGGGGAGCCCACATGTGCACACAAGAACAATTGTGTGTATCGCAGGAGGGAGGCTGCTGCTGCTCTGCCTTGCGGCTGAGCAGCAAGACATCTGTATGGCTGTTCTGCCATTCAGGAGGACTTCAAAGCTGGAGCAGGGTTAAACTGCTTGGGTTGGCTGCCCTGAGCAGAGCTGAGACAACAGCAGGGCAACCTGCAGAAGGCCAGGGGAGAGCGGGAGACCAGGGCTGGGGACCAGCAGGAGAGAGGTGCTAGGGAGCATGGTACAGGTGTGCAGGTAGATGGGAGCAAAGGGGGGTGCACACGCCCTGGGCTTAAAACAGCAGTGATTCAGTTTAGGGTTTTAACCCCCTGTACTAGAGCCCATCTGGCTGAAGCTTCATCTCTTAATCTCTCAGGTTGCAAGAGGGGCCTGAGCACATCCCCCTGCCCTTTCCCCACTACACTCCCCATGCCAAAATACTGCTTGTTGAAAAGGGTTTGCAGCACTGCAAGTATGTCCGGTGCCACAGAAAGGGAACTCCATATCATAGTTTATCAGCAGGCAAATTAAACAAAATCAGCAGTTATGGTGCCAGCTGTTCTAACAAGGTCTGGTTGCAGCCCTATCAAAAACGCATTTCTCCCCTGCCCTCTGCAGCCCTGGATTAACTCCTATATTCTTCTGCAGTTACTCTGGTTCAGGTCAGACATGCTATTGCCCTGTACCTCACTCCCTAACTGCCCATGGGCATGTAGCAATTTCAGAGCAGGTCTATGCTGATGTGACCCAGTAGTGCTCCAGCACCCAAGCACAGCACACTCCATTTCAGTGGGAATCTGTCCCCAGCTACAGATACTCATTCAGCACATGGGCAGGTGGCAGGACACACATGACTTCTGGAGCAAAACTGATGCAAACAAAGCAATCCTGTGAGATGCCCAGGACCCGCTTGTTCCTGCTTGAATGCTCAAATGCTACATCAACACAGCTTGGAGGAACAAATCCAGAGATTCCTGCCTGATGGAGAAAAATTATAGGTTTCTGTCCCCTGCTCTGCCCCTGACTGACACAGACCCTCTTGCCATGCTGCTGGCCTCTGCTCACTGCCCAATTGCCTCTCTGGGGCAAGATGCCCTTCCCAGGGCAATTTTGGGAGCACCACAGCAAGTGGTAAAGCCTTATAGCTGGTCCTGGGGACCAAGTAAGCCTCACATCTAACACCTGAGAGTGAGAAGGAGAGAAGGGAACACTGGAGTTCTGGCTGGCCCATGTCCTCTTTCCCTAACCAGATGCTGGTGGTATGGGTTGCAAAGGGCTTGGGAAATACGCCTGCCTTGGTGGGGAATTGCAGCAGGCAGATCTGCCAGGGATGCTGCTGGACCCACAGGAGAGCAGAGAGGAAGTAGGCAACCTCAAGGCACACCAGCAACGCTGTATTTCCATCAGCAGGAGAAAACAGGAACTGCAGTGTTTCAGCATCTGGACTGAGGCTTCAGGGAAGATACCAGAGTGTGTGGTCACAGCACAAGAGGATGGGGATTGGGTGCAGCTCCTGAATGAGAAAACAAGAGGCAGACAAATACCCACTGCATTGCAGGACACCTTTAATGACACACGAGCTAGTTGCCAGTGTTACTGCCAGCACACTGCAACAGCCACGGCCTCCCACGGGCTGCCACGCCTTGAGGATCAGTCCTGCTTTTGGCAGCATGCTGCTCAAGCCTTTTCCCCCAGCAGAGGCACTTGGTTGTGGGCAGGGATGGTGCCGAAGAAGGTGTTTGCTGGCCCCTCAACGCAGTGCTCCATGTTTCCGTCCCACCTCAGTGAAGGCATCCACACAGCGGTCGATGTCCTCGTCACTGTGCACGGCTGAGATCTGGACCCGAATGCGGGCCTTTCCCTTGGGAACCACGGGGTAGCTGAAGCCAATGACATAAATGCCTGGGAAGGAAACATAGGGAGAGTCAGAACTGGCTGGGAGGGAGAGAGGCAGGTTGATGGGCACTGGCTGATAGGAGGGCTTTTGGATCTTCCCTCCCCTCTCAATAACCACTTCCAGCCTTCAGGGTTTTCAAGTGCCATCTTCTCCCAAGCATGGAAATGAGGGTTAGGGCCAGTGATCAGGGATGGAGTCCAGCATGGCAGGACAAGAGCATCAATCTAAACCCCCTCTCCAGCTAGAGAAAGAAGAAACATCTGGGGGAGACCAGGAGGATGTTTGCAGCTGGAGAGTGAAAGAGTTCCTTATGACAACTTAAATTGGAGATTTCATGCAGGAATATCCTCTGGAGGAGGGCTGGTGGTGGCACCACTAACAACTGTCCCTTCCCTCAGGGAAATGTGTCTGCATACAGAGCTCTCCCCTTGGTTCACCTCTGTTCAGCATGTCCTCAGCCATGACTGAAGCCAGCCGAGCATCCCCCAGCATGACCGGACAGATGGGGTGGTCTTTCCCTGAGATAGTAAAACCAGCTGCTGTCATCTTGCTCCTGAACCTGGTGAAGAGAACAAGAGGATTAGTAAAAAACCTCATCACCCTTGTCCTTGGGGACTGCTGCCTTTCTTTCCCCTGGGAGCCCTGGCCACTGGGGCTGGGTAAGGTTTGCTCCACTGTGCATCCCCTGGGCAGGGAAGAGATCTCTCTTCCTGGAGTGACCTCTTGCCATGTCCTGCTCACCAAAATGGGGTAGATGTGTCCCAGCACATAGGGTATCCAGATGTGACATACCTGCCTGCACACCTGTCTGACACACACAGACACATCCCTCCAGCTTCCCCCGTGCACCCCAAAGCTCTGACTTGCAAGCTACCTTTACAGCTGTCACTGGGGAGGTGGGGGTGAATAAATACACAGAGACAACTCATCCCTAATGAAGCCGTCCCTGCTCCCACCCCAGTATGGCCCCCTCACCGTTGGGTTTTGGCAGCCATGGACTGTGCAATGGCATTGCTTTCCATGAGCAGGTCCAGGGCCTTGGATGCACAGCCCACCACAGCAGGGGGTAGGCTGTTGGAGAAGAGGTACGGGCGGGACCGCTGGCGGAGCAAATCAATGAGGGGTTTGGGACCAGCTGTATACCCACCTACAAATGAAGGAGAGAAAATTGGACAAGGCACCCCAGGGTGACCTGCTGAGAGTGGGACTTCTCAATAAAGCCAAACTAGCACCTACAGCAGGAATTTCAGTACAAACCAGGCCTAAAAATCACAGCTGATGCTCCTGACCAAAAGTTTCCACCTTGACACCAAAGGCAAATGCGTGAGGAAGATGACAGTGGAAGGAGCATGTTCCAGGATCTCCCTTAACCCTGCTGCATATGGAGGTATGGAGCAGACCTCCATACCTCCATATGCAGCAGCATAACAAACCAAGCCTCATGCCACCAGCAGAAGAAGACAACATGCATTTATTGCTGTATCATTAGGTAGAGGAAGAAAACATAAACAAATGCTGTGGAGCTCCTAAGGGCATGCGGGATCTTGAACAAGAAAAATGTGTTCACCTGCAGCTCCTCCAAGAGCTTTTCCCAGGGTGGAATTGATGATGGTAACTTTGTCCATCACTCCCAGGAGCTCATCAGTACCCCTGTAGAAAAAGGAATGTCACATTATCAGTTGTGAAAGCACACACCAGGGAAGTTGCCCGATGCCTCAAGGGAAACAAAGCACCACCAGCCAGGTCTCTAGTGTTCCCCCTTCAGGAAAAGGAAGAACAGCCCCCTGTGATAGTACAGCCCAAGTGTTGACCTTCCTTTCCTTCAGAAAGGCTATGTTGGGGATCTTGCAAGACAAGAGCATGGGTTCTTCATCCTTTATAGATGGAAGAGCGATCAAACTTCCCAACCAGACATAGTAAACGTGCTCTTGCAGCTTCATGTTCTCCAGCCCAAAAAGGCAGGAAGAGGCATGGCCATCCAGCTGTGAGCTGTCTTGAAACAGTGCTGTTGACAACACCACCAGG